TGCCCTCCGGAGACCCTAGGGGGAGGGGCGGTGGCAGGGGGCAGAGTTGGCCAAGTCCCTCCTCCTCCTCCCCACCTTGGTCTCTGGAGGGCAGAGGAGGGGTCTAGTGGTAGCATTGCTGTAGGACAGGCCCTTGGATCTGCGCTCCCGGCCTGGCCTGCCAACTGCCCCTCTGTGGTCTTGGCAAGTTCTTTGCACTCCGTCTGTAAAACGGGAATGTGGTGGTCGGCCCTGCTGGCACAGGGGGGTGTGAGGGCTGAGTGGACCCGTGTGGGCGGGCGGGGTTCGCCAGCGTCCGAGGCTAGTGCTGGGAGAGGGGCTTCGTCTGATACTGTCGGCCCGTCCTGGCTTCGGCTCCCGGCGACCAGGGCTCCAGCGAGTGAAGACATGGGCCCGGGGGTGTGGGCCTCCCAGAGTCCTCACAGGACGAGCCTGGAGCCAGATGGGGAGGAGTCCTGGAGCCACCGACCACTCTCCTGCGATCAGGCCGAGGGTCGGAGAGGCCAGGCCCCGCCACCCAGGCCAGCAGGCTTCCAGAGGACTCCCGGGGGGCTCAGCAGACTCCCCTCCCTTCCAGGCTGTTCCTCCAAGTCATTCAAGCTGTACTCGCCGAAGGAGCCCCCGAACGGCAACGCCTTCCCCCCCTTCCATCCCGGCACCATGCTGGATCGGGACGTGGGGTGAGTCTCCCGCCCGCCCTGCCCCTTCTCCAGGTGGGGCCCTGCCTGGAGGTGGGCGGCAACCCTGTCCCTGTAACTCCCGGCTGCCAGTTCTCATAGCCTCTTCCCTCACACAGCCCAACTCCCATGTACCCGCCAACATACCTGGAGCCAGGGATTGGGTAAGTGGGGTCTGGTGGAGGGGGAGGCGCCCTGGGCCGAGGCAGAGGTGGGCACGAGGCGGGGGTCTGCCTCGAGCATGGCCTCCTTCACTCCTGCCAGGAGGCACACGCCTTATGGCAACCAGACTGACTACAGGATATTCGAGCTCAACAAGCGGCTGCAGAACTGGACAGAGGTACGGCCGCGGGAGTGGGGCTGGGCGGGGGGCTGCCGGGCCCCGTGGGACGTCCTGCGATGCGTGGGTGCCCCCGTGTGCTCGCCAGGAGTGTGACAATCTCTGGTGGGACGCTTTCACGACGGAGTTCTTTGAGGACGACGCCATGTTGACCATCACCTTCTGCTTGGAGGATGGACCAAAGAGATACAGTGAGTGGCCTTGGGTCGCGCGGCGAGGGCTGGCACTCCTGAGGCCCGGGCGCGGGTCTGGAGGCGCCGCAGCGCTGAAGCAGCCGCGCTGGCTCCGTCACAGGGCTGTCTGGGCGGGGGGGCGTCGGCCGGCCCTGGCGCTCCCTCGGTCCTGAAGGCCCGTCCGTCTCCACAGCCATCGGCCGGACGCTGATCCCGCGCTACTTCCGCAGCATCTTCGAGGGGGGCGCCACGGAGCTGTACTATGTGCTGAAGCACCCCAAGGAGGCCTTCCACAGCAACTTCGTGTCCCTCGACTGTGACCAGGGCAGCATGGTGACCCAGCACGGCAAGCCCATGTTCACCCAGGTCAGCAGCCCCGCGGGAAGCGGGCGCCAGGGTCTGGGCCCAGTCCCTCCTCACCCCCAGCGTGTGCTCACGGCTATTCCCAGGGGACGTGCTGGGAGGGGGCAGAACAGGATGGCGCAGGCGTGCTGTCGTGTCAGCCTTGGGATGCGGCAGGCTCCTGGCCGCAGGACCGCACGAGTGGCCAGGGACTGCCCTCACAGGGCCTAGGGCAGACAGGGAGCCACAGGCCACGCGGGGAGGGGGCAGGAGTCGGTGAAGCCGTCCTTCTGTGTGTGCGGGGGCTTGGGCAGGTGTGAGGCTGGGCTGCCGCGGCACGCACCCAGGCATCTGCAGGCGGCCAGGCGAGTGCAGCGGGAGACACGGGAGGTTGCAGCAGCGTGCGCTCTCGCTCGCGGGTGTGGGGTGTGGCGCGGCAGGGCTGTGACCGGCCCATCCCCAGGTGTGTGTGGAGGGCCGGCTGTACCTGGAGTTCATGTTCGACGACATGATGCGCATCAAGACGTGGCACTTCAGCATCCGGCAGCACCGCGAGCTCATCCCCCGCAGCATCCTGGCCATGCACGTGAGCTGGGGACAGGCTGGGTGTGAGGGCCAGGGCCCCAGCCACTGGTGGGACAGAGGGTTAGGTTTTTCCGTCTGGAGAGCGGGTTTAATGATAGCACCTCAGCCAGGCTCGGTGGCTCAGCCTGTAATCCCAGCACTTTGGGAGGCTGAGGTGAGTGAATGGCCTGAGCCCGCGGGTTCGAGACCCGCCTGGGCACCTTGGTGAGACCTCATCTCTACAATGAATCAAAAAACTAGCTGGGTGTGGTAGCGCGCGCCTGTAGTTCCAGCTACTCGGAAGGCTGAGGCGGAAGGATCGCCGGAGCCCAGCAGGTCGAGGCTGCCATGGCCGGGAGCGTACCTCTGTGCTCCATCCTGGGTGACAGAATGAGACTGACTCAAAAAAAAATAACAAGAATAACACCTCAGGCCGGGCGCAGTGGCTCATACCTATAATCCCAGCACTTTGGGAGACCAAGGTGACAGGATTTCCTGAGCCTGTGGTTTCGAGACCAGCCTGGGCAACTTGGTGAGACCTTGTCTGTACAGTAAATCAAAAAATTAGCTGGGTGTGGTGGTACATGCCTGTAGTTCCAGCTGCTCGGAAGGCTGAGGTGGAAGGCTGGCCTGACCCCACTAGATCGAGGCTGCAGTGGCTGGGAGCGTACCACTGCTCTCCAGCCTGGGTGACAGAGTGAGACTGCAACTCAAAAATGAATAAGAATAGCCAAGCACCTCATTGGACCGGGTGCAGTGGCTCATGCCCGTAATCCCAGCACCTCGCGAGGCTGAGGCAGGAGAACTGCTTGAGCCCAGCCCGAGTCACACAGCAACATCCTCTCTCTACAAAAAATGAACAGATGTGAGAACAGTGGCTCCTCTGCCCCGTCAGGAGTGTCAGCACACTCGGGTGACGGGGCAGGTGAGCAGAGGCAGCCCGGGTTTCCATGTTCTTGTCTGCCGCCCTTAGGCCCAGGACCCCCAGATGCTGGATCAGCTCTCCAAAAACGTCACCCGGTGTGGGCTGTCCAACTCCACTCTCAACTACCTCCGAGTGAGTTCCTGTTGCCGGGTCTCTGCCCATGCGCTCCGGCCCCGCCCCACCCTGACATGCCGCCCCTGCTCTGCCCCCAGCTCTGCGTGATACTGGAGCCCATGCAGGAGCTCATGTCCCGCCACAAGACCTACAGCCTCAGCCCTCGTGACTGCCTCAAGACCTGCCTCTTCCAGAAGTGGCAGCGCATGGTGGCGCCCCCCGGTAAGTGCCTCGCTCTCAGCGCTGCCAACCCCGGGGCAGCCGCACGCTCTGGAGGCCAGGCCAGGTCGGGGCAGGTGCTTGCCCCAGGCCCGGCCCCTCCCTGAGTCTCCTCTCCCGGCACAGCGGAGCCCGCGCGGCAGCAGCCCAGCAAGCGGCGGAAACGGAAGATGTCCGGGGGCAGCACCATGAGCTCTGGGGGTGGCAACGCCAACAGCAGCAACAGCAAGAAGAAGAGCCCCGCCAGCACCTTCGCCCTCTCCAGCCAGGTACCTGTAAGCATCTCGGCTTTCTTCTCTCTTCGGGGCCGCCCCACCGCCCAGCCCTGAGCCCGTCGGGCTGAGCCTCCCGGCGGACGCAGAGGCGGGACGGGTTCCTGGGTGCCGGGCAGCACGGCCCCTCCCGCCGGGGGAGAGTCCTTGCCAGGCACGTCTGTGGCTCCGGCCACACAGACGCGGCCATGGGACCCTGGGCACAAGGGGCAGAGATGTAAGGACACACGGATGGGCGGGACAGACAGCTGGGGGTACGTGGCATGCCAGAGACACACGCACTGGTAGGGGACAGGCAGACTGGAGCGCGCGCAGGGGTGAGCCGCTCACACGCCCTCTCCTCCCACGTGAATGGGAGCGAGGAGCCCCTGGGCGGCTGGGGCTGGGCAGTGCCGGGCGGCGGACCGGCCTCTAGCTGTGGAGCGAGTGGCCGTGTGCGCCGGCGTCCTCCTGTGGGAAGGCCGGGAGTGGGGTCTCAGCCGGGCATGAGCGGGGCGGGGCTCTCGGGCTTCCGGGCGGTGCGGGGCTCGGGTGTCCGCCACCCTGGCCGGGCGAGCCCTTGCCCCGATTATGTTTGGGGACCTCCGCCACTCTCAGGATGTGATGGTGGTGGGGGAGCCCACCCTGATGGGCGGGGAGTTCGGGGACGAGGACGAGCGGCTCATCACCCGCCTGGAGAACACCCAGTTCGACGCGGCCAACGGCATTGACGACGAGGACAGCTTTAACAACTCCCCCGCCCTGGGCGCCAACAGCCCCTGGAACAGCAAGCCTCCGTCCAGCCAGGAAAGCAAGTCGGAGAACCCCACGTCGCAGGCCTCCCAGTAGAGGCCCCGCCACGGCCACCCGCGCTCTGCCTGCCTGCCCTTGCGGTCCCGGGGAGCAGAGGACAGAACAGAGACTGAGCCGCCGACATGGGTGGGCGTGGGGGCCTGGACTCGCCCCGGCCCTGCAGAGCCTTTGGGGACAGGGGACTCTCCTGCGGAGGCCTGCGTGACCCCGGCCCCCAGGGGTCGGCGCCACCCTCGCCCCGGCGCC